GACAGCTAAATGCTTTATCTGATCCTTACCTGTCAACTAGGGAAGCAAAAGGTTGCACTACAAGAGAAGTACCCATCACGATCAGCAGATCACACTTGGGCATATCCTATGAAAGCAGGGAACAGAGACTTTCAAGAATAAGAGATATCAATGATTCCTATGTTTTGCATGATTAAATATGGTAATTAAAATTGGTATGAAAGGGGTATGAGGAGATCCAAACAGTGGGTCTATTAGCAATGGGTTTTTAATACAAAAAATAAAAATAAAACTATGTAATTTTTATTTATCCACGAAACACATAAATGAAGACCCATGATTATAATTTGGAGCATCGGTTTTTGTATACGGTAGGAAATCAGAGAACCCACAGAAAAGTCCATGGATTATGGATGAAAACGAAGAAGAAACCCAACCCACTTATGATGCCTGGAATTCAGTATTTGAGCAAGCTGTCACCACTGCATCACCCCTGCTCTCAGTTGTACATGTGTATAAGATCATTGTATTTGGGATCATTAACAGATTGTATGAGCAACTTCCGTACACATTTTGTGTTAAGGGTGTAAATTACTGATTTTGGTATCGTTTGGTGTGTTCAACACAAAACACACTTGAAGACAAAATGAAGAAAAATACAGTCATTTTCGTTTCAAGTGGTATCTTTGATGGTTCAAATAAAGCTTGAGTCAGGCCCAGCTATGCAGATTGGTCTCCTTTAGGGGCTACATACAAATTTTCTGACCAGCATCCCTGACCTTTTCACATGGGTGTCCTCCCAGGTTAGTTAACTTACTTACTCTTTGTATCACAGGATACTGGGAGCTTTCAAAATTTGGCCACAGGTCTCATATGTTGGGAATCAGACAAACATGAATAAAACAATAATTTTAGTGACAAAAAATGTGCTATTACCTGAGGAACACGTTTGTGAAAGACATGTGGCAGGGATTCACCAAAGAACACTATGTCTGTATAAAGAAATGAAGATTTAAATGTGATAAGCAGCTGCTAGTGAAAGAATAATCTTAATTGAAGGTCTTAATTACCTGGTGGGATTTCAAATGATATTACATGTAAGATAACAGAGCTTGTGCTGTCAGACATTTGCTTTTGTTTTTTGTTTCAATGGATAATGTATAATTTTATTTCTTTAATTATTTATAATTTTTAATTAATTACTTTTTATTTTGATTAATTTATTATCATTACTTTTATTTTTAGATTATTTCATTTTTTGTGCCATGCACCGGCATCAGCATGCTCAACTTCCGCTGCTCTGTCACATTCGGTCTTTGTTTCTCTCCGAGTTTGGGGGAGGAGCACGGGCTCGTTTCCTGAACAGTGGCTGGAAATCGAGCCTATGGCATCAGTCACTCTCAGAATCTGCCATGCATATGCAACAAATTAATTTTAATTTCACATTTCCTAACCTGGTTTAACGACTCCTTCACAGTCAGGACACCTAGGAACCTTGTCTGCAAATACTTCGTCTGAAACAAAAAAACTAAACAATGATCTTTTAAGGAAACATTACGAAAAACTAATAAAAACAAAATGAAAAAAAAAAAAAAAAAACTTGGCTAGTTAGTAAACAAGAACATCTGTTTGGCACAAAATGTGCACTTGACATTGTACTGAGATTTTTTGTTGCTAGAAGATGACAGTTTTCAGAGAGTGAAAATTGAGGAAAACTGTGATCTTCAATCCTGAATGGACATTGTCAAATATTTGCGTCCGTATTTGACATTTATAAAGTCAAAATAAAGGGTTTTGTGTTAAACATCAAAATAATTTTGTCAGCATTCAAAAATAGTGCAACTCTATTCGTACAACATACCAATGTTAGTAACAATTTGGAGAGGATGACAACTAAAAGACTTATGACAATACAAAATTTGTGTTAATGGCTTTAACAATGGCCAGCTATAGAAAGCATTGCAGACATATACAGGGAAGGGGTAGGGGTGGTGAGGGAAGAAGGGGGAGGAATGCTGCTCTCCCCTCTTCCACCCCTCCTACTTCCATCCCTACCCTCCCCCATCCTGTCCTCAGTTTTATGACTGCTATGCAGACTAGCTATAGAAGGTTACTTGCATTTGATTAGAGACAATTGATTGTAATTAAACATAATTTATTAATTTTTTATACCTTTAACCCATTCATGTGTGTACTCTTTCCTACAATCTACGCAGTGTGCTGTATGAAATGAGCCATGTGCCTCAACAAGTTTCTCTTCTGGAATGCCAGCAACACGTTCAAGAGTGTCAATATTCTAAAAAGCAATCATGTTTCATAGTGTAGCATAATCACTTCACAACACGTAGTACACATACATGTACTTATAGCCATAATTAATTCTCTTGGAATCTCAATACATGATTACAATTTATTATTACAATATGTACATAATATAAGGTATTATTTAGCTTTCAATGAAACATCAGCCATCTTACCTGAGTGTAATTGCGCAGTAGCAACCCTTTTTCATGTAATAACTGGATAAAATAGTGTGTAATTGTGGGCTGAAGGTTAAACAAAAATATGACATTACTTCAATTCAATTTTTTCTATTAAATTTTATATAAATAATAAAAATAAGTAACACGAAAAATTAATGGTCGAAAACAGAATCTTAGAATTGTGATTACGGTACTTACAATAAATTATAGAATGATCTACCTCATGGTATATACCTAGACTAACTTTTTCTGAGTGAAAGGCCCAGAAAAAAGTTCTGGAGGATGTTTGAAAGTTTTCTGGAGACAATGTGAGAATTTCCCAAAACGAATTGTTTAGCCAAACATTAACTTTTGTTAGCAGTAAAACTGTAATTTTACATCAAACAGGTGCACTCTCTCATTGTAAGCCTAAGGTACATGTACCTTTGTTTCTTCTCTTGCAATCAGTCAAGCTGGTACATGTACATGTATGTGTCATGTGTCAGTTAAGGTTGTAATATAGCCCAAATTTTTCAGCTAAGGGTGAGAGGTCTGTAGTCAATTGAGCGGAGTGTAAGATCTACTAACATTTTCAACCCACAGGCATTAGAGTTGGAGGTACATGTATATATCTGTATCAGATGTAACCAACATTATACTTACTTTGAACTGTCCAGGATAAAGCTCTTTAGCTAATGCAAAGAATGGTTCTGGGTTTGACTATTAATTGAATAAGACAACAGATTGTCAAGTTTAAATAACATACAAAAAGTCATGTAGTTTATCATAATCAATAATTGTTAAGAAATTAAAGTTAAAAAAAAGACTATCACGGACAACAGCTTAATATACATGCAGCTTACCCTGAAGAAACCTATCTCAAATACTGCCTGGGGATGGGGTAAGTCATATTTTTGCAAGTTATCATAAAGACCAGTGCCTGGAGATCTGAAGTCTGGAATTCCTGCCGCCGTTGAAATGCCTGCCCCAGTCATGACAATGATATTTTTACCTGGTGACGGATAAATATTAATCAAGGCAGACATGAATATCAGGGTCAGAAAGTGACACAGTCCATTTGCAGTTGAGTTTTTAACTAACTGAACAGTGTTAGTATATCAAGTAATCACACTGAGTTTGAAAATGGGTGAGAGGAGGGAGACTGTTATCCATATAATATAATTTTATTTTAAATAATAATTTAAATAATTTAATTATTTAAAGTTAAAAATATATGAATGTACCACAGTTGATAGTCAAGATGTCATTTTCTAAGTAATGAGCTACAAACTGTGATTAGCTTCACACTTTTTTGCAAAAAAAAATTAGTGAGTTTAACAAACCATTTTTGAGAAGAAGAATTCATAACTTTGACAGTATAGATTGCAAATTTATTGATACCGCCACAGGCCAAACACAACAATTCATGCATCGCACCCTATAATTATAATACTATTAATATCAAATCTCCTTAATCCCCCTCTGAAATTTGATGTGCTGATCAAAGGCCTCCAATCGAAAGAGATGGGAAGAGTATCAGATGGCTCTCAAATAAGGGATGAAAATAGCAATTAAATAACATGGTATGAAGTGAGATGTCAGAGAGAAGATCCAGGTTACAAACTTGTCTCGATGTCAAATACAAGGCGAAATTTAATTTACAAAGTATACTCACAATGTCCTTCCTTGATGTATTTTCCAACTCCTTCAAATGTCACTTCCTCTAATAACTGTTCTGGTTTTTCCTTTTCTGGCAAAGCCTCATCACTGGATGGTGGTTTAAACTTGGCCAGTAATTTTTCCAGAAAACTCACTGACGCTAAATTTGAATGAAAACATTTTACAGTTTCTATGTTAGATTTGCTGTGGCTAGATTAGCACCACTGGCAAAGCGCTTTGGACAAAATGAAAGAATAATAATTAAAAAATGATCTGTGCAGTGTACACAGGGCAAGGTTTGAGTCTGGCTCAGATGCATTATGGTAATACCAGGCAACTTTGGATGAAGATAGATGACATTAATTTTGGGCTCACATGCATTCTGGCAACTGTCTAGACATAACATATCATTTTATCAGGAAATATTAGCTAATTTTAAACTCTCATACTTCACCTTGGTCAAGCTGTATAACCTGTGTGTAAGTGTTTGCTGGTGGGGGAGGAAGAGTGAGTGGAGGGATAAGGAACAACTGGGAGGGATGTGTCTAAGAATACCTACATGTACAAACATTCATTTTTTGTACGTGATTACTTGGCATGAATTTTGGCATGGAGAGAAACAGGGATTATCCTAGGTAATGAGACAGTACTGGATGGGTCACATGCTTGATAGAGTCTTCTACTAGGCCTACAATACCAGAATTTGTAATAACATTTTTTTTAGCATGTACATGTACATGTAGTCACTAAAAGTGCTACTCTCTCCTTATTGGATGCTAGCCCTCATCTAGTTACTACCCAGAAGCATTTTGTTAAATGTGTATAGCAGAAGTACCATCAGTGAGGGTTAAATGTCTTGCCTAAGAACACAATAACCACAGGCAGGGTTCTTAAAGAGACTAAAATAAGATTTTCACAGTTAATCTGATATCCTGTACTGGCTGACCATCTACCTGTCATTATTTTCTTCACCACGAAGTATAGTTTTTACTGTTGGCAGGAAAGACGGAGAAAAAAGATGGAGGAAGATAGTGTGCCACGTGACATGGAGGGAAACTATTGCATGAGATGCAAGAATAGTGTATGTGCTGTAGAAGGAGACCTTAAGTTGTTAGATATACACAAATCAAAATAGAGGGACATTCTCCCATATTTGCTGTTCTTTTAACATGATGGTACTAACTGCATGAATAGCACTCACTAGATAAGTAGACGATCAGTAGATGATCTACTGCTTATGCACTTATTTAAAATAAAAGTTATCTCTTATTTTGTCACTTACAGTCCTCCTCCTGCTTGTCTTCTTNAGTATAGTTTTTACTGTTGGCAGGAAAGACAGAGAAAAAAGATGGAGGAAGATAGTGTGCAACGTGACATGGAGGGAAACTATTGCATGAGATGCAAGAATAGTGTATGTGCTGTAGAAGTAGACCTTAAGTTGTTAGATATACACTAATCAAAATAGAGGGACATTCTCTCATATTTGCTGTTCTTTTAACATGATGGTACTAACTGCATGAATAGTGTTCACTAGACAAGTGGATGATCAGTAGATGATCTACTGCTTATGCACTTATTTAAAATAAAAGTTACATGTATCTCTTATTTTGTCACTTACAGTCCTCCTCCTGCTTGTCTTCTTCTCCTCCCGTGGCTCCATCACTTTGTTCACCTGTTTTTTCTGATGGAGGTTTACCTACAGTTAACAAAATGTTTATTAGGTTTATTTCAGACTAAAAATTATGCTTCACTGAGATTGGCTTAGTGCAGGCAAATTTGTCACAAATTTTTTGTTAGCCCTGCTGTGTAGATCAATACAAGCTTATTCACTATTTGATCAGTCATACCTTCAAGAGTCCTTTATTGTACTCATGTTCGTTTGATTACCAAAACTAATACTGACAATTATTATAATTCTTTTGATTAAAATATGTCTATCACATTTTAAGATGGATTGAGCTGTAACGTTCAATAACATAATTTGTAGGCTGTTTGTGCCCAAAAGGCACCCTGATTGTGTCATGTTCAGTACTCACCTAATAAAGCTTATTCATGAACAAGCTTCAGTTCAATCAATATAGTGCAGACCTCCAATGGAATTAAGCTTTTAAAATTTGAGCTTGGATTAATTATCTTGTTAAAAGACCCGGCGTTTTGATAATTGTGATGGACCAGCTGGGGCCCATTTCTTGAAAGTCTAGCAAGTTACCGCTCCCGAACAGCTGTTTTCGTTTGCCGTGTTTACATTCAAGATTTAGATATTAATATTTTTGAAATTAAAACAACAAAAAGATCAGGAAACGAAACAGAAGGGACTTGTTTTCTTTAAGCTAAAACCCGCACAGCTGTTCCTAATTTTAATAGGTCTTAAATTGTAGGTCCGTAAAAGTTACCAGCACTTTCGAGGAAAGGGCTCCGTGTGATTCAAAAATAAATCATAAAATAAGTGTTCACCTTCATTAGAAGACATCTCGAGCCTCAGGGTTAATGGAAACTTTTTTTCAACAACTTTCGAACACTACGTGCATCACTAGTGTAGGTTAAAAACTTCACGGTTTTTCCTCAGGCTGCTTTCAACAAGGCGTTACTTCTCGCATCTACTGACCGCGTAAGAGACTGGTCAGGAACGTTTTATTTTCCATATTTGGATTCTCCTGAGATTTGGAAAAATGGCGGATGGAACTTGGAATGTTTTGTAAAGAGAGACTAGTAGAAGTCGAAGATCTTCCTGGTCGGGTGTACCAATTTGTGACGCTCAAACTTTCTTAGGTAAGGCCATTGCTTTGAGCGTTTCCAGGTTGCCTGATACATTATGATATTATTTGCGCGAATAGCGCTTGCCGGTTGGTTGGCAGTAGCAACAGCGATGGAAGCAGTTTACGTTAAGTCGGTTAAACTTAATAAGACTTAGGTATCTTATACATCATAAACTTATACGATCCAGAATTGTTGTTTTAATGTCTTACAATTGTTATACTGAATCATGAGCTATGTATGTTCTGCGTAACTCTGAATATTACGGAAGTTTTGTGGCGGGCGAAAACTTCGCGACTTCGACCGAAAAATTCTACAGCTGTTTTTTTGTTGATTTGTACATTGTATGTATAAGTTGTAATTAAGCTTTTATTTCCACAGGCCCAGTACAATGAAGGCTTCCAGTACAGCTGAAAGAACTGGTTTATTCGATGCTAATTTTGTTTCACACTTGAGTTCTAGTCAGCAAATGTAAGTACAGTAATAACGTTTACAGTACATAAATTAATTAGGAGTACGTAAGAGATTTCAGATTTAAATAAAATGCACGCACTCTTAGATTTGAGAGATGTTTCGGATACTCCATGTCCATCGTCACTTTCAGGACGTTTACAAATGTCGAAGGATAAATATACAAAAGGTGATGGAAAATTACTTATGTAACTTCTAAAAACGCTTAATATATATACAGCTGTTTCGACAAAGGTTGTCCCACACAAGCATAAAAGCGAACGCGACAGTGCCGATTGATATTTTGTCAGTTATGGGTAGTAGTAGTTTGGTGTTCCTTGTTTGAGGTTAACAGTGCTTCAGGAAGAAAAAGCATTAATACACATGTTTGTGCTGTGTCCCTCTGTCAATCAAGCAACTGTTGGTCACCATTACCCATAATACCTTTCGACATTGTCGTGTGCGCTTTTACACTTTCGTAGGACAACCTTTCTTAAAGCAGCTGTATATAAAACAGGTGATCAGCAGTCACTAGACAAATTTTTGGGGGAGCTGTTCTTCACAGTAAACAATAAAAAATACATTATTTGTTAGCCTAATCAGGAAGATTTGCCAATAAATTTATATTACATGATGATGCCTCTTCTTGAGCTTTCAAAAATATCTGCTGATTTCATAAATCACAAATCACCCACATTTGGCATAAATAAGTGAGAAACTAAATACTTGAAGCAGAATTATTGTTTTTACTTCATACGTGGGAAAAATGATGATTCAAGTCTCAGTGTCTTGATGAGTTTCTTATTTAACCAACTGTCACCCCTGCATTTGTTTTGGAGTAAAAATTAGTAGCTTTCTCATTTTATGGCACAACTTCTCTGTAAGACTCCTTGCTTTTCATTCACTCTTTTCTTAACAGAGGTAAACTGGAAGCAAAGAGGCTAGAAACTAAATGGAAGAAAATCTGTGATCATGAAAAAAGGAGCAAGGAAAGAAATAAAGAACTGCTCAAAGATTTTGAAAGGGTGGAACAACATGCCGCCTTGTTGGCTGTGAAAACGGAAAGGCTTAAAGCTTACAAGGTGACACTGACTTCTAGTGTGGTATTATTTTTATACGTTTTGATGGGTTTAGATTCAGAGTTAGAGTTGCAAGGGCAAGAGCCCATCTTTATGAGCAGATGTTTGCGAGCTGGAATGTACTGATCCTGTCATTTCTGATTGCAACATTGACAGTATTGTTTGTATGCCTTTCGCAATTCTGAGTTCAAGTCTAATCCTAACTGGGAAACGTACATGTATAAGAAAAAAAAAAAACTACAAAGTCAGTATCAATACCAGTTTTTTTTTCTTTTGATGCAACTGTGGATTTTACAGCAACAGTATGAAAATTACATCAACAAGATGTACCCAAGATGGAAAGAGGAGCTGGAGAATCATAGATTAAGTGAACTGCAGAACAGAAATGCCTCCACTGGAAGTGTACATGTAAGTAATAAATTTTCATTAAAATGAATGCTTCACTGTGGTCTGTACATTGTAGTATACAGTGCATGCTTATTTGGCATTTATAAAATCACATTTTATTCAGTCACAAGCTGGAATATGTTATGATACTTCAGTGCTTAATACTGAACCAATTGGATGCAAGTGAATAAATTGTGCATGCATCCATCTCGTTCCCCAAGGATGCAATCCTCTTTGTCAGCACCAAGAATCATGACCTCTGGACCTCTGGCCTGACTCATTTTCTGAGCATGTTCAGAGTATTCGTTTCAGTCTGAAAATCGCAGACTTCCAGTGTTGGATCTACCCAGAGGTTGTGATCCTTGATGCTGACCAAAAGGATCAAGGTCTCTGAGGACAAGAATGGCACAAGACTGAAACAAATCCCACAGGAAAAACATTTAATTTCATGTTTAATACTTAACAAAATACAGTAAACTACTGCATGTAGTCTACTGCATATATGTTCAATGTTAGCTCACTTTGTTGGTTACTTGCATTCATTTGTGATCCTGTGATAGGAAAAGAATGTGTATAGGGAATGAAGATTGAACTACCAATTTTAAAGATGTATGATTGTACATGTAGAGAACATCACTAAATTTATTAAGGATTACCACTAGTAATCCACTCTACCGACAAGTTCAAGGCATGCAATTGTCTGTAAATGCAATAGTACTGTAAGTCCAACAGAAGGTGTAATTTTCTCTCAGGCATCTGGTGCTCCACTCTTAACCTCATCATCAACCTTGAGAGCTACTCATCTAGAACCACACTTTTCTGGAAACACCTTATCAAGCACACCAGCTCACCCTTCCAGCTCAACAATGTACAACAGACCTCCTCCACAAACAGGCTACCCAGTCAATCAACATCACAGTTATCGGCAGGATCCTTACAGTGAGTTCTCTTACCATGATTCATCTCGCAATCGTGGCAGTAATCTGCCGCCATCTGGATATTTGGTATCTGACAGAAGGTGGCAAACCCCAGAATATTATGACTCACATAGACATTTTGACAGTAGAGTACATCAAGGTCAGTTTGCGGCAAATAGCAGGGAGCCAGAAAATGTCTATTACAGGGCCCCAGATCATTATTCTACGTCACCAGGTGGCCCGTTCTATGATAGACAACCACCTCATGGAGAAGTCCCAAGGAATGTTCCACCAGATCCTAGATATGTGCACCCTGATATTGCTCATGGACAGTCACAAGGAACAAGACCTGCAGCACCTTATGAGCCCAGGACAGAGTTACAAAGGACATTCATAACTCACAGAAACCAACCAGGACCTTATGATCAGAATGGGCAGTATGCACATTACCATGATGGAAGACAGAACGGCTACAGGGGTTATGGGAATCAGAGGCCAGATGGGTTTGAACCTCATAGAATGGAGAGAGGCATTGTGAGTGGAAGGGATGCGGCTCAAGTTGACAAGGTTTGTTTTCAGTTATAACTGCATTGCTTTTTGTTTCTTATTTTCTGTGCATTACTTTGGCTCTAAACAAAATTGCATTTCTAGTATCCTGACATTCAGAAAGTGACTAGACTCGACAACCAGCTGATGCTCTGGAAAATTAGCCCACCCTCCTCGCTAAACTCAGCTCTCGTGAGAGAGCAGCACAAATCTACATGTTGCTGAAAAAGTGACTGGCCAAGAGAGATTGATTCCAATGATGTTTACATTTGCTACTGTACATAAATGTTGGGGTGACAAACTGTAATATGTACATGTACAGTAGTCTATTTCTTCTACATATGTATGTACATGTAAGGCAAAGGGAATTTAAGGTGAAGGACTCATCCTTTGAGTTTTTGTTGTCAAACTGGAAAATTTAAAACAGGCAAAGTAAAATGTCTCTGTGTAAATTAAGTCAAACATGAAACTTACAAAGGTAATACCTGTTCTTATTCATCAGCCTTTTTTGAGTGGTTTTCCAGCAAAAGTTGTCATGAATGGTCAGGACTCAAAGCAACTGCCTCCAGAAGCCTACCACGCAAACCAACCATTTGTCCCCCCTGAAAAACCTTTGGAGAGAAGCATTCCTGTGTCAGGTTTCCCAGATCCTTCACCCTCGTCAACAGTTATTGAGACCACGATGGATATTAGCAATGCTCACCATGATCATGGAATGAAGGAAGATAAATCTCTTACGACGCCAACGACGTCCGAAGCCACTCCAAACGTGGCGGTAGTGAAACCAGCAAAGGAAAAAGTAGTGAAACAGCAAAGTTTGCCAAGTGAGGAAATAACTGAGTTGTCAGAAAAAGCCCGAAAGCTTGGCTTAGAGCCTGTAAAGTCAGTAGGGATTCCACAAGACGGAAACCAGCAGAATACAGAAATTGATTCAGTGGATGGAAAAGATGAGGAACCGAAGGATAAAGTGTCACTGACGCTTCAACAGGCAAATAAATTGGGAGAGCAGAGTGATGAAGATGATGAGGAAAGCTTGGATTTAAGTGACCTTAGTCTTCCAGATGGGAACAAAGAAGGGCTGTCTTTTATTCCTTCACAGGAAGAACCTGTTAGGCATGAGGACAAACAGGAAAAAGTGAATGCATCTCGTGGGAATTCAGAACTCTCCGGTGGTACCAGTAATCCTGTTGTTGTACCTGACGCTACAAAGAGTGTCACTGAAGACATTAGTGAGGATATCCCAGAATCTGTGGCTTTGGATGGTGATGAGGATTTAAATGATGTTCCTGTCCACGATGAAAGCGAAGAGACACTCACAAGCGGTGGTGAAAAAGGCGCAGAACAACGCAAGGAGTTTGAAGTTAGCAAAGATGTAAATGATGAAAGGGGAAAGGATACAAACGAGGTGCTAGCCAAAGATGAAATGGAGACATCTTTACCGAAGACAGAAGAAAAGAGATCACCATCAGTGAGTGTGGATGGTTTCTTGTGTCTTCTGCAAGCCGTTGATGCTGATGTGGAGGTGTCGTTCAGCCCGGAGACACTGTATCATTCCCCTCGCTGCAGTTCAGATATGCGTGAGGAGATAATTAGGTAAGTCAGTCAAAAGAATTGAGAACCGATTTGAAATTTGCTTCTATAAACTTTGCTTTCACATCTCACAACAACTTACATGGAAAGAGTAACATGTAGCTACATGCATGAATCAGTATTAAGTGGAAGCAAGTTGTTACCAGCGCGTAACTTTTGTCTCGTTTGCTTTTGTGAAGAGCCGCTGAGGTTGGTGATAGTCTCCAGTCCTTTAACCTAAACACGGTCAGTATGATTGTTTTGGAGGAGTTGCCACTTTTGGTGCTCAGTACTCCCGCTGGTTGCCTCATTCCTGACCATGTGTTTTCAGAAGGAGCTTCCTGCGAAACAGAGAAAGAGCTAAGGTGAGATTCGCGAAAAAGAACAAATTTCGATTATTAGATAGTCAAAAAGAAACATTTCAGACTCGCAAGGTCATAAAATGATCTGCAGTGTAGCTGTGGTTGATGTATACGTTTGACTGCCCGTCGACGTCTCGGTTCTTGTCAAAAATGGCACCCGCGTCTCGGCTCCCGGCAAAAAAGTACCAGCCGCGTCTAGATTCCCGCCAAAACTGCCTGTCATAGAGTCCACAGGAGGAAACTTTCCCCAACAGTAATATTTAACACAAGTTTCCTTCATATAAAACGACGTGTCTGAACAACTCTAAGCTGCTTCCAAGTTCGGGAATATAATGCTGCATGAAAATTTAAAAAGTGCTTAAGGGGGTCTTATACTCTCAGATATAAATTTTTCTCCAGAAAACCATGTTTTTGGAACATGAAGATTCAACATCCCTGTCCATTTGTAAATCGTATTTTGAAAGGATTTTCCTCTAATTACTCCTGAATTTACGTTTAAATTAAGAAATCTGAACACTTCTAGCTATATTTCAACATAGCAACACCCATAGCAACCATTGTTT